CTCGTTATGTCGATATCACGAGAAAATTAAGTCGTTATAATGAGAAAACAACTCCCGTTATGTCGAGATAATTTTCTCGTTAAGTCGTTATAACGAGAAAACAACTCTCGTTATGTCGAGATAACGAGAAAATTAAGTCGTTATAACGAGAAAACAACTCTCGTTATGTCGAGATAACGAGAAAATTAAGTCGTTATAACGAGAAAACAACTCTCGTTATGTCGAGATAACGAGAAAATTAAGTCGCTATAACGAGAAAACAAGAAGGAAAAAAAATATATTGCATGGCCGCTTAGAACTTCCGTAAATAAAAGAGTTATAAAAGAATAAAATAAAATAAAATAAAAATGTACAAATTTTTAGGTAAAAACAAAACAAAACAAAATAAAATAAAATAAAATAAAATAAAAAAATGCGTGACTTATGGGAAAACCGGAGGTTCAAATATGGTTTTGATGACCCCGGCATAGATAAAAACAAAACAAAACAAAACAAAACAAAAAATGCGTGACTTACGGAAAAACCGGAGGTTCAAAGATGGTTTTGATGACCCCGGCGTAGATGGCCAGGATGGACAGCACCACACAGGCCAGGAAGACCAGAGCAAGCTTATTGACGTACTTCACACCGACAAAGACCACGAGAGCCATGAGCGTCAGACAGCACGTCCCGTACACACGCATGTTATTCAGCAGAGCATCCGCCTCCTCCGCCTTCTCCTCCGCCTTAAAGATGGCAGTGTTGGGCACTATGTACGTCTGTGACACAACACAGATAGAAGATGTTATTTTATAGAACAGAATAGAGAGGAAATCATGGGGAAAGGACGGGAATAGGACTGGTAAGTATCATCTGACAGAATGCATCTCGGAGAAATAAGAGTAATAGCAGGAGTTTTCAATCTTTTAGAGGCCATGGACCCCCAAATATGACCATCTTTGTGTGATGGACCCCCACCCAAAAATTTAAGAGGCAGCTATATATTGTCATGTATAAAGACCCAATTTAGACTGTAAAAACTTAATATTCTAAATATGTTCAAATTATTTAGAAAATATTTAGTTTATATTGTTACATTACTACATTTTTTCTGCACTGTACTTTTAAATGTATTTAAGTCCAACTTTTACTATTTATTCAATTTTAAAATGTTATTTATTTAAATCAATCAGTTGATTAATTTTAATCTTATTAATTTTTTTATTTTTTTAATTTAAGCATTTTAATTTGTTTATTTTTTAATTAATTAATTAATTTTAATCTTATTTTTTACTGTTAAATTTTTTTTTTACAAGGATTTTCTTTTCCATGGACCCCGTACTTATTTTTTCATGTAAGTGAAATAGAAGTTCTTATAAAATAAAATTCACAAAGTTGCTTAATTTTATATCGGCAGCAAGTGAAATTAAAGTGCTTTAAATTCAAATCAAATCAAATCAACTTAC